CGGGACAGGCTGTTCCCTGCTGTGGTGCCGTCCCCAGGCCGGTGCACGCCCGGGGCCCGGCCCGGCCCTGCCCGCTGCGCCCACCGGGCGGGGAAGCGTCGGGGCCGCTTCGTCTCCTGTTGCCAGAGCCGAAGGAGGGGAACTTCCTTGTTCTTCCACTTGCTTTCCTTGGCCGACACCTGCATTTCCTCTTAAATCTGTTTTAGGCCTTTGATTATTCGCTCCAAGTCGTGCTTCAGTCAGAAATCTGCAGTAAATGGTCTCGCACGGTTTAAGCCGTTTTAGTGTTAAACTCAGGCCGAGGCAGGATGCAGAGCTGGTCCTTGGGGAGATACCCGTGCTCAGTCCATGCTCTTGAGGCTGGACTGGTGACCCTCGGCCCAGTTGTCCACCTTGTTACGCAGGCACAGCTAAACTGTGCAGTTAAACTGGTTCCTAATTATTTTCCTCCTCTATAGGAGAGCAGGAGCTTAGGAAGACTTCTTCAAAAGGAATAACACGCAGTGACTGTGTGGCTGGCTCAGTCTGTACCATTCCCACTCGTAGGACAGGGGAAAGATAGTGGCTCTTGTTTCTGTTTAGGTTTTCTTCTCAGTGCTAGATTTTGTTGTGACATATGAGTTGCTGGAGCATGTGTTTTTGAAAACAAAACAACAAAACTTGCTAGCTTTTTATTTAAACCTTTTCTTGTTTTAATCTTGGGACTGGTATTCTGCCATAGTGGATCCAGAGCAACCCTCAGCATTGTTCAGTGAATCTTACTGTTGATCAGCAAAGTGTTGCAGCACTGTAGAACTTGGTCGTGATACTGGTTGGGTGGTAGGGGCAGAAATTAAGCAACATGTCTGTGATGTAGCCTTTGAATAGTTTTGAAGCTGAATCTCTGCGTTATCTGTCTAACACTGGACAGAATTTCAAACCCTCTGTGAGATCAGCCTTGTTGGTGATAGATGACCTACTTACAACAGATGCTATTTGCTACTGCTCAGTATTGGTCGGGTAGAATAAAGCTTTAATGATAGTGACAAGTTTCTTTATTCTCTAATGGTTTGAAATTATTTTAATGTTCAGGAGTGATTAAGAGACATAAGCGGAGACGCTATTTAGAGCTTTGCTGGTGAGAGGCTTTTGCAGACATTTTGAAAAATACTGTTTTCATTTTAAGGTTCTGGTCTCACTTCTCTGTTGTAGCTCCCACTTGAGCTGCTTGAATTGGACAAAGCAAAGAATCAGTGTTGTTCCAAGGACAGTTACTCATGCATGATCCTGAACTGCCATCCTTAGCCTGACAAGCCAAATAGTTTTGTTGAATTTAGAGATCATGCCTTTTTGCACTGTGGTCTTGTTGTTTAGTGAGTCCCCTTTGAAGTTCTTGGTGGCTTTTCAGAATGGTGGCAAAGTAAATGGGTACCTAGAAGCACGATCAAGATGTTTGTTTGAGAAGAACTTCTAACCTAGTACCATAATATTACTTTTTTTTTTTTCCTCTATTTTTATGCGTTTGATATACAACTAATACACCATTGTGGAAATACTTGTTACAGTAATAGTGTCACAAAAAACTCTTCAGGTGTTTGAAAGCATAGACTGAATTGCTCAAAAACCAAGTGTAAAACGTGCTCTGTTGGGCAAAAGTGGGGGAAAAACAGAGGAGTAAAACAGTGAAGACAACTTTTATGCCCTCTTGCAAGACAGGCAGTAGAAATAGGAGATGAATATGTCATGTTATGTTGTTTCTTCTCTCAGCTTCTGCTTGTGTCTTGTTTGGTTTGGTCGGAACTTAGCATGTGTCATGAGTAAAAACGCAGATGAGCAGTTCATGAGCTCAAAGAACAAAGAAGAAAACATGCTCATCATGAGACTAATCACGGAATTACTTTCAGTGGAGACGTCCCTGCCAACACTGTAGTATAAAACGATAAAATACTCAAGTCCATGAATACTTTTGTAATTATATCAGTACTCTGACAATTTTGGGATCTCTTGATGTGATTTACAAATAATGCCCCTAGAAAATTCCACAAACAGAGTTTTTCTTTCAGGGAACTAATTGAAATTTTGGCAATTTCAAGAAACCAGAAGCTTTCACAACCAGGAGAGGAGAGCCAGGTGAGCTGAGTTTCTAAATTGTATTTCTCTTGATAAGCATAATGCTGTACTTCTAATTTTTTCCTTTTTTCTTTCTGTCTTCTTTCATCCTTGCCTGTACTCAAGCTAATGATGATGATGAGGTTTTGGCCTCACTACAAAAGCATTCTTGATTCTCATGTTGTTTGTTTGTTCATTTGTTTTATACTTCATAGGCTGCTTCTGCAAACAGGGGAAGAAAGAGTTTAATCTTTTATGTAAACAGAAATATTCCTAAGGATTTCAGTTGCTCTTCTTTGCAGCAGGATTGAGGGCGTGTTGTTACTGTAACTAAAAGTTCTACAAAACTCTTATTCAATAGATCCTGGAACTACTGATTCAGAGAGATGCAGAGTTTCAAGAGCTAATGAAGTTGGCAGTTGATCAGGGGAAAATCCATCATGAAATGCAGCTTTTAGAAAAGGTGGTAGAAAAGAGAGATAATGATATTCAGCAGCTGCAGAAACAACTAAAAGAAGCAGAGCACATACTGGTAAGTTTATAATAATCTGTTTGCTTTTGAGCATCTATTTGTGAAAAAGGTGATTCTGGAGAAAGTGATACTGTGTTAGAGAAGATTTAGATATTTAATACTTCATAAAAGCTTAGTGGTTTGGGTCTTTTTTTTTCAGTAGTCAAATCCTGTTTAGTTATCATGGTATTCAGTTTTGTTTTATAATGCTAATTTTCTTCCAAACCTACTTTATTTCTGTGCATTTTGAAAATGTTCAGTGAATATTTTCTCTCTTAAAATGCAATTAAATGCAAGGGTTTATTCACAGAGCTAACTGTTATGTAGATGTTTACAAATTAAAGATGCACTGAAGGTTTAATTTCTTGGTTTTTTTACAACTAGGCAACAGCTGTTTATCAAGCAAAAGAAAAACTGAAATCAATTGAAAAGGCAAGAAAAGGTGAGTATCCATGAGTGTACATACCAGATAAACGCAGTTGTAAAGGAAGTTGCTAGTGATGTCTAGTTAGGGTTATTTTATCTTTTTAACTCTACCATCACAGATTTTAGATGCTTCACCTATAAACAAATTCCCATTTCATTATGAACCTATAACCATTTACTCAGAATAAAGCCAGGCATTATTTTTGTGGCAAGTATATCTTTAATATTAAACTTCTTCTTGGTCTGGTATTAGTATCTCTACTGTGTGTCTCAATGAATTGCCTCAGTGGATCTGCTAAGGAAAGGGAAAAAATGTGTGCATGTATGTTGTATTTCAAAGTGACTAGCTAGTGATACTAGTTAGTATTTGTAGCAATTCCGGCTACTCTGTGGCACTTACCAAGCTAAACTGACTTTTTTTTTGTGGGAGGCATTTTCTCTGGTGTTTTTTTTTAGTGTCTTTTATAATTTTGTTATACCTCTTTAATGTATAAAATCAAGGAATCTCGTGAAGTTTCTGTTACTGTAAAACAGGCACATATGTAGAAGGGCTTCTACACGTGTTAAAATTACTACACAAACAAAAAAATCTTTACTACAGAAAATTCCATAACAAAGTAGGTGCTGAAGTTTTCTTATAAATTGCTTAAAAGATTGGTTTGTGTTTCTCACAAGGTTGAAGAACTGTTGACATTGAAAGTGTACTGAAGTTATAGCTGTAATATCAGTTCATTATGAAGCTCGTCCTTGCATAATCTAAGAATCCTCTAAGCAGTCACTGATTTAAAGGATGCTCATGTTTGACAAAATGACATTGTCAATCTTTCTGATATTAGTGTCCAATATTAGAAATAATTGAATGATGCAGTCTCTTGAAAAGGTAATTGCTTTCCTTCCTTTCTTCCAGGTGCCATTTCCTCTGAAGAAATAATTAAATATGCCCATAGGATCAGTGCTAGCAATGCTGTTTGTGCTCCTCTGACATGGGTACCAGGTAACTACCATGTTTATGACAATAGACTTTCTTTTTTTATAATAAAGCATGGTCAGTATCTGATCTTATAATGCTTTTATATAGTGAAAAACACTGCAGTTCATTAGATTAACATTGTTTTCAGCTGTTATAGCTTATATTGACTGGCCTCCTCTGCTCTCCTTTGTTTGCTTTTTTCCCCTGAATGTTATTCCAAATTATAAGTAAGGACCAAGTATATTAAAGACACTTCTCTGTGCTTGGTTGTGTTTCTTCCTGTCCCTTCTTTACAGGGGGTGTTAGTAATCAGTGGAGTAGAGAAGCAGGGCTTTCGCTATGTCAGGTTTCAATTCTGGGAACCGTCCTTCTTGTCCAAAATGAGAATGGGTGCATTTTTCAAATTCCTGTCCTTGCTGTTTTCCTGTGATGTAGCAGGGAGAGCAAAGATACCTATCTTCTAAACATGGGGGGGGTTTCTGTGTGTATGTTGGTTTTTTTGGGGGTTTTTTTGTGTGCTTTTTCTGCCAAGCTTGAAGCAAGATCTAAGTGACTTAGTCTAAGTGAAAAAGATAGAGACTTGGGCTTTAGCAAAACAGGAGTGATGCTCACTGCTGACACAAGCAATCACAGTATGGCCTTTTTTGTCAGGAAACTAGGCACTAAAGAAGTTGTTAAAATCTGCAAGACAATTACTAAATATTGTAAAACGTTTTTTTTGTAAAGGGGACCCACGTAGACCATATCCTACAGATTTAGAAATGAGGAGTGGCCTCTTGGGTCAGATGAACAACCCATCCACCAATGGAGTCAATGGACACTTACCAGGGGATGCGCTTGCAGCAGGCAGACTGCCAGGTGAGAGAAACTCAGTTTTATTTGCTTTTCTTTATTCTTTGTCATAGCAATTATGTGTTTTCTTTAGCAAAGACTAATCAGAGTTAAAATAATGAAAACTGTGCCTAACATTGTTTCCTAGCAGTGAAGATCTAAAGTTAACAATTAGAAATGGCATTGTTTTATTTCATACTAAATTGTAATGAAGACACTACATCCAAGTCAATATAAGTAAAACTCACTTTGTTCCACTTCAATTATCTTATTTTAAATTGCTGTAAATTTAAGTGATATCAAGCCATATTAGCAAGAAGCATTTTCAAAGCCAACTTTTTTTAGCAAAGATGACAAATAGTATGTAATTGTGAAAGCTGCTTTTGGAAGGAGAGGTTTATTGTCATTCCCTACCTTCCTTTAAGTAGCAAGACTATTTGCTTAAAAGTTATGGATTGAAAAGCCATTGCAAAGCACAGCTGGTGAGGTAGTACCTTGAGTGTAGGAATTAAGCTTTAATCCCTTAATTCCTTAGTGAAATGGGCACTTTCATTAATTTTAGTGGGATTAATTTATTCATGCTAACATGGAATTTAGCTGTAAATTACAGTAACTCAATCAAGAATTTAGTGGTTCTGTACGTGTGGAGGTACAAAACTGTACTATTAGACTAACTTGTGGAAAAATTATTTGTTTGGATTTATATGAAATCTGTAACAGCTGCTACCTGTGTGTTAAGCCACTTGCAGGTGTTCTGGAAAGCTTGTTTGAAAAAATTATACTATATACATAAACCCCCCCGCGGATCGCAACTCCACTGTTGGATAAATAGTAAACTTGGATTTTGTGTTTCCAATCATCTGTCTAATCCTGTTGTTGCCTCTTAGGAAGTGACTTGACGTTCTGTATTATCTTGCTTTCTGAACCTCTGGCCTTGGAGAAAATGGGTCAGTGAGGTCAATAGGAATGGGACCTTGACATGTGTTCATAGCAACCCACCAGGGAAATGCTGAGGATGGGCCCACTTAACTTTTATTTTGAAATATGGGTCAGAGGAGATGTTAGGGTTGTGTCTTCCTCATGGAGTTTAAGCATATATATGTTTAAGTTTTTAATAGAGCCCATTCTGGCTTGCTCCTCTGCCTGGGGGGGATCCAGACTTGCTCCTTTAATTTTGAGTGCTGTCTCTGTAAGAACTGAAAGCCCACATTTAAAAGAATTTTCCTTGAGAAGCTGGAAAATATGGGATTTAAACTCCTAATGTAAAACTGTTAATTGAATTGTTAGAGAAAATACTTTAATTACTAGACTGTCAGGTAAGAAGACAATCACCAGAACTTCATTTAAAACTAAGTAGAGGCTGCCCTGGCATTTTGTGTAGGGAGCCTGAATCTGTTAGTGTGTGGAGGCATGTCCTGAGAATGCTAATGATGGGATCTAGTCCTTTTAGAGGCTTCTGCAGGGAGATGTCTGGTTACTGAGTCCTTGTTGAGTCTGCAAGCCAGCCACTGGGCTGCTTGGTAGCCTCAAAACTTTGAGGCTGCTTAGCACACACATGCAACCTGGTTTAGTAGTGGACTGGTTCCATCACTGAAGCATGGGCACAGAACGTAAAACATTGGCTTAACTCAGGCAGTTCGGACAAAGTTGGTTAACTTCACCACAGCTGGGATGATACCACCTGGTACTGTTGTTGGTCTTCTTAATATGGACACAGAACTGGCATAAAGGTTGCATTACATCCTTGCATCTGCTGGTGGGTTGGATCTGTACCATCCAGAGGGACCTTGACAGGCTTGAGAAATGGGCTCATGAAAACCGCATGAAGTTTAGCAAGACTTGAGTGTAAGGTTCTGCACCGGGGTCAAGGCAATCCCATGCAGAAATACAGGTTGGGTGAAGTAAGGATTGAGGACAGCCCAGAGAAGAAGGACATGAGTCTAGTGGTGAACCAGAACTTTAACATGAGCCATCAGTGTGTGCTTGGAGCCCAGAAAGCCAACTGTGTCCTGGGCTGCATCAAAAGAAGTGTTGCCAGCAGGTCAAGGAAGGGGATTCTCCCCCTCTACTGTAGACCCAACCTGGAGTATTGTGTCCAGTTCTGGAGTCCCCAACATAAGAAGGACATAGAACTCTTTGAGTATGTCCAGAGGAGAGCCATGAAGATGACCAGAGGGTTGGAGCACCTCCCCTGTGAAGACAGGCTAAGGAGGTTGGGGGTTGTTCAGCCTAGGGAAGAGGAGGCTCCATGATGACCTTATAGCAACCTTCCAATATCTGAAGGAGGCCTACAAGAAAGGTGGGGTAGGGCTTTTTACACAGAGGTGTAGTGAGAGTACAAGGGGCAGTGGTTGAAAGCTTAAAGAGGGGAGAATCAGGTTGGACATTAGGAAGAAATTCTTTCCTGTGAGGGTGGTGAGATGCACAGGTTGCCCAGGGAGGTTGTGGATGCCCCTTCCCTGGAGGTCTTCAATGCCAGGTTGGATGGGGCCTTGAGCAGCCTGATCTAGCAGGAGGTATCCCTGCCCATGCAGGAGGGTTGGAACTAGATGATCTTTAGGGTCACTTCCAACCCAAGCCATTCTATAATTCTATGATAGGTAATGCATCTTGGCATTGGGGACTGTTGCTATAGCTCATCTGTGGAACCTCTGGTGACTGCAGACTTAAAAGATCAGAATCTACTATGTCTGTGGGGCCTGTGTGCTTCTGAGTTAGGCAGCACCTCAATGAGGGTTTAATCTGTCCAAAATTCAGGAAGATTTTGAAGATTTGTTTTAACTTTAAATTGGAATTCTGGTTGATCTGTCTTGTTGAATTTGTTCATCTACAAAGCTGATAGTTGGATTGATTATGTCCTTTTTTTTCCAGATGTGCTCGCTCCTCAGTATCCTTGGCAATCAAGTGATATGTCAATGAACATGCTACCTCCTAATCATAGTAATGACTTTCTGTTGGAGCCTCCAGGACACAATAAAGAAAATGAAGATGATGTAGAGGTTATGTCCACGGACTCCTCGAGCAGCAGCAGTGACTCAGACTAGGTACAAGAGGGACAGTATCCTTAGTAAACCTTTTCTGTGGTGAAGGTAGGGTTGGATGCTGTTTGCCACAAACTGCAGTACCCTGTTGTCACTTTAGTGCCCTTATGTAGGGAGAACAGCTGGCTCAAAAATAGGGTGACTCACTTAAAACCACAGACTTTAGATTTATTTTTTTTTCCATTAGATGTTCATGTAAAAGGACTGGGAACTTTCTGCTGAAGAAATGTCAGATTTCCAGTGATTATGTATATGTGTGAATGTGTATGTTTGCAAGAGACGGGTGTGTATATATTTACTATACATTAGACAAAAGTTCCTGGGAAAAAAGGTGTAAGGGGAATCCCCTTGTATGTTTGTTAGTAAATTTACTTTTTTGATGATAGCCTTTTCTATGGCACAGAAATGAGACATGAAATTTGTAATTTTAATATCTTTTTTGTTACTGTCTAAATCTGTGTTCTTTACCATCTGTGGGCCGAGAACAAAAGTACGGCAATAAGGTGTAAAAAGGTTTGTAATTATTGTAATATATCATAAATGATTTGTCATAAATAAATTCAGCTTTGATGTAACTTTACGTTTCCCTTTGGAAACTTAAATATCGGAGTTATTGTGTAACTTCAACACTTGGCACATTTCATCCTGGTATGAGGCTGAATTCTGATTTGCTTTCAGAAGTTTGTTCTCCCTTTTCCCCTTTGGCAAATGCCAAGTCAGTATGAGAAGCAGCTGAGCAGTCAGGAACTGAGTCTGTCCTTTTCAGCTGAGTTTTATCAGGTAACGGGGCAGACTGAGGCAGTGACGTGGAGTGCCTGTTTGGATGGTGTCACTAGTATTTTAGTTAAGCTTCCTGGGGTCCTGGAGATGCCACACTTTGGGGAACGCTGCAGGTTCAGCTCCTGTTAGTTCAAGGTACTAACAGATTCTTTATTATTGTCATCTATATTTTTTTTGTTCTTCAAACCTGTTAATTTGTTTCCTTCAGCAGCTGCTTTTCCTGCCTCAGATACAAGGTTCTTTCCTCTTTCCAAAGGCAATTACCTTGGCTTTTCTTCCCTTGTTTTTTTACTTAAGGGGTCACTTTGTGACAGCTGTTGTTCTCTTAAGTAACCCTTGATCAAATGAGAAAACTAATGTGAACTATTACTTATGGCAGTTGCAGGTTTCTGCCCTGCAAAGAGGCTTTCTGAGGCACAGATCACAATTCTCTTCACTTTTCCATTTTGTAGATTCCTCACAGGAAGCATCTGATAAATCAGATCCTTCCTCATTTGCTCAGACAACCTTTCAAATATTGCTGTCAATAACACTGCCATGTATGACCAACATATACACAAGCTTCATAAAGATGTAGAGATAAAAAGGACACATAATACAGGGCCATGTTGTTTTAAGAGAAACAGGGAATTTGGTTTTGTCTCAGCTGTTCCTTTTGGAAGTTTTTTCAGAGTTACTAATATTTCACCTCTGTTTTGCAGTCTAAAGTTATACATATAGAAACACATTTTAATATTTATGCAGTATAATATTTTCTTCTTTCATGTTTACCCCCAATGTCTTTATTGAGAACTACTCTTCCTCTATAATTCATGTTAATCCCAATACCTGTGCCCTGTCTCAATCATCCTAGTTAATCTTGCCTACTCCTGTTCTAGTTCACATTTTTTTCTTAAACATGTGTGATCAGAATCATACACAATACTGCAAAATGCAGTTTCTTGATGTTTTGTACCATTAAAATAGTATTTTATTCCCCAAATGCCCCTCCCATACACAATTATGAGACAGCCACAGATCACTAGTCTCTTTTGTCTTATTTATACAGAGATTATTTTCTTGGAAGGAAATACAAAGAGAAATAATAGTAATGGAAAGTGTAAAGTACAGTCTACCAAAAACTCTTGCATGGCTCCATCATGTGATTCACTAACTGAAATATTGTTGAGGTTGGTAATTGTTTCCTGACATAAGTAAGACCGAACAGAGGTAACAACCACTTCTTTTTCTGGATTGCTTGCTAGTCTATTAAAAGATTCCATAGGACCTCTGTGTTGTATCTAAGAAGTAAGAAAGAAGACAGCTCTGCCCATTGTTAAGTTAGCTTAAAATCAGACTCTGGATCTAAGATGCAGCCTAATCAGTTTCTTTACATCTGTCCTCCAAACTCTGGAGTATCTTTCTCAGAGCTTGGTAACCACAATGCTATTTTAGGTGAATTCTGCCTACTATGAGCAATTTAGCGAACAATGAAGTTCTAACTGCGTGTGCTGTTATTCAGAGGCTTAGCTGTGTACAGGATAGATTTTCCTCTTCAGCAAAAGCACCAAAACCCAAAGTAAACGTAACATTTAGTTGAAAGCACTGAGGCTTAGCAGCTAAAAACTACTGACAATCAGATTTGGGAGGGAGAGGAGAGGGAAGTACAAATGCGTAATGCTTAGAAAATAAGTTATTTAAGTGAGGGATTGCTGACAGCAGATTGCAGTCCCCTAAGAAAGGATACTGAAATCCTGACATATGGAGACACTGTTGGTGTCCTTGTTTCAGTAACAACTTGTCTATTTACAAAAGACAGAATGAATATAACCATGAATGGTAACAAAATATTTATTACATGACAAACTATTTTACAGTGACCCCTGTTTTCCCAACAGGAGGTAGATGCCTTCTAAAATTTAAAATTGCACTAAATAATTTTAATAATTTTACTTTTCATTATTTGGGACAGATGGGCAGGACATCTGTCAAATCTTCCTACAGCCTCTTTAATGACAGCTGAATGGAATTAATTTTTTTTCAGGTAAAATTTAAAATTGCACTAAATAATTTTAATAATTTTACTTTTCATTATTTGGGACAGATGGGCAGGACATCTGTCAAATCTTCCTACAGCCTCTTTAATGACAGCTGAATGGAATTAATTTTTTTTCAGGAAGAAAATCAATTTTGAAAAAAAAAAAAGCTTTCTACAAGGGTACAGTAGTAAAGGAGTTTTCAGTGATATTTCCCATTTCAAAACTGCTTTATAACATTGTCTTCACTTCAGAGAAAGAATATCTGTCCTACGGGAAGTTGTATGTACTTAATACTTCAAATTCTAAGCAGAAGGCTTGGGATTGTCAGTTGCATCCTTACACCTCGTATCACTCTGCTTCTCTGCAAAAAGAGCCACTTATATTTAGGAAAATGTATGTGCAAAGTAAAGAAAAGCTTTAAACCCTTTGAGGGCATTTATTTTAAGCACTGACAAGTAAATGCACAATTTCAGACAATTTTAATATTTCACTATTTTGATTATGCTTTATTTAAAATAAAGGTATTTCATACAATGGGTATAACTAAAGGAAACAGTGTTTACTGTTTAATAGAATCTTAAAGAGAAAAAAATTTAAAATGAGGCAATTAGCCAAAACATGTGATTGACTGCAGAGAAATTTATCTGCAGATCAATTCTAATGTAACCAAGGCTGCAAACAGAACTCTGTAACGAAGGGGATGGCAAGAAAGGTCAGGGAATTTTCATTCCTTACAATTAGCCACCACAGCCCTTTCATGTTTATAATTGCCCAGTTTTCAAGTATATATTACTGTATGCAGGAGAACAAGGCATTGTTTGGAAAATGTGAATTTTGCTCGTGACAGTATCTTTACTGAAGCTACAAGACAAAGCTAAGTTTAAAAACTGGTCCAAGATGTATGTTGACGAGAAGGCAACATGATATACAAAGTAATTTTACATTGAAAGCAGGACCCTGGTTTAAACAAATCTGTTTCTCTTGGGCCTAGTGCTGCAACCACTTCCAAGTGAGTGTGTTTGTAAAGTAAACTTCCAAAGGGCTCTTTAGATAAAGATTAACCAGATAAAACACTGTAATGTTTCTTGTAAAAGAAGATATTAATTGTTAACCACTCCAGCTAGAAATAGCTCTGGAATGAGAGGCAACTTGTGTAAAATATGGTGAATGCACAGAAATATCTTTTTGCCTTTGGGAAGGGTAGTATTTTCACGTGGGCAGTGGGAGCACAATGTATCCTTTTGTCTTTTGCACCAAAAGAAGCAGCTCTGACCTTTAGTTCGATTAGTTTTTATCCTAGTTGGTGGCTTCCCGTGTATCCCTTTAGATGATCGAGCTCTTCTGTGAAGGGATTGTAACCCTGCTCTCTTAAGCAGCGTAAGGGCCAGAACAGCTGGTCTGCTGGAGGAAATTCATCCCATTTAACCCACTCCCAACCTGCAGGGGGAAGAAAAAAAAGAGAGAGGAAAAAAAATCCAGAGTGTAAAATTAATGCTGTAACAATCCAGCTGTTACAAGCCCGGCTGGATTGCGCGTTAATTCCCAACGCAGTCTCTGCTGCGGCCAATTGGAATCTGTTAACTCTCCTCCCGCTGAGCCTTGACCCAGCCGGGAACGTTTTCCCGGAACTGAACAGATGTGCCCGTGGCCGCCCCTTCACCTCGGTGCGGCGCCAACGGAGACGGGGGGTAAATTTAAGCTAAAACCCGCTCAGACGCGTACGATGACACAGGCACTGCTCCGTGCCTTGGAACCCGGGTCCCCCGGGGGGACAGACGGACAGACAGACACCCCCGGGCCTCACCCTCGTTCTTGTCGGGCTCGCGGTTCCGGGGCTCGGCGCCCGGCGCGGCCTCGCCCTTCATGAGCAGCGTCACGCCGTGGTACCGCGCGGCCGCGCACGCCGCGTTCACGGCGGAGGCGAAGCGCAGGTTGCGCAGCGGCAGCGCCGCCTCCTCCAGCGCCTCCCGCGCCGCGCACTCCGCCAGGCTCTCCCTGCGGGCGGGGACGGGGCAGGGGGACT